TGGCTTCCGATGGCGCATGGAAGAGAGAGTGGAGAAGGCAGCACCAGTGATGGGTGGATTCCAATGTCGCAGGGAGGCAGCCGGCGATGTGAGGAGAACGAAAGCAAGAGAGAGACGAAGAAGATGAAGATGGCTGCAACCCTAGCTTTTTTTGTTTTTTCTTTCTATTGGGTTCGTAAAGAGACCCGTAACATTAGAACGTGTCAAATGAGTTTGGGTTTTCATCACTAAACCCAAACCCAATAAAAAATAGCTTTAAACCAAAAAAAGGCATATTGGTCGATTTTTCAAAGCTGAAAAATTGACCGATACGCTCAATATGGCCCCGACATATCCTACTTTCTCCCGAAAGCCGACATACGACTTAAAAATGCTCGACATGTGTTGCTCGAGCCCTCAATCCGATATGTCGGCCAACATGTTCGACATGTCGGCCGACATTTAAAACATTGACAATGACTATAGAAAATGTTGGAGGAAAGAGCATCTCCATTTCGGAGAGTGTTTCTGATACGATTTCCTTAAGGATCTTAAAGTGAGACATCTATAACGTTGGAGCATAGGTTCTTGAAGCATCCTCAGAATTCAATTATAACATCCACTGTTTTTTTATCCTGCATAATGTTGCGAAGTGCCACGAGGGCAATTGATTAAGGACGTGACAATCATGAGTTTTAAGTCCAATTAGTTTCCTTTCTTGAACCTGGACACTCTTTGATATGTTCAAAGAGTAACCCTCAGGCAGCTTCATTGATTTGAGTATCTGGCAAAATGTTTGCATCTCAGTCTTTGATAATGTAATGCGATTTGAAGGCAACTCATTTATCTTGTTCGCCAATCTTCTTCTGATATAGCTCTTCTCGGTTGTTCAATGCACTTAGATCCTAATGAGCTCGAAGATTGTCTTTTGATTTTTTTAGCGTATTGCAATAGTGTTGATACAAAATTGTCACAAATGTTTTTTTTTCAATATGCATGACGTCTAAGTTGTGCATAGTTTAAGCTTTTGCCAGTAAGGTAGCTGAAAGAAAATGTTGTATTTCATCCTGTAGGCAATTTTATGGCTTCTTTCTCGACTTTCACCCTCTGTGTCGGTCTCTTTGATTTACGTACCTTTTTGTCTTCTGCATGTTCTTCACTCCAAGTAAATGCTCTTTTGAATATCGTTTGTTTGATTTACGTACCTTTTTGTTCTTCTATAAGTTCTCAACATTCACCCTCTTTGATTTACGTACCTTTTGTTCTTCTGCAAGTTCTTCACTCCAAGTAAATGCTCTTTTGAATATCGTTTCTTTCCGAACCTTACTTTTCATAAATCCTCAAGCATTATACAATCTCATCTCCGGATAATGAACAACGATGATTTCTGGTCTCAACTTACTTCTTGCTCTATGTTTTACTTCTATACCAGTGCATGTCTCGCAATCACCTTCTATTAAACCAATAACGAAATTTTCGACTGTATGATAGATAAAGACCTTTGAATTTCGGACCACATTGGATAAGCATAAGTTCCTTTTGTTGACTAACTAGAAAGATTAGTATAAGCTAAAAAATCATAGCAAAATAATATGGAGCCTGAATGACTTCTTAACATGAGCATCATATGTCATGACCCCCTCTCAGAGTTGTTTTAACTCATTAATTAGCAGCTCCAAAAAGACGTCTATATAATTAGTGTTATCGAGATGCGCGTCCCAGGCGTGCCCTAGGCATGAGGCGCTGCGACCTGCAGCAATCGTGCCCCGCACCAGAGGTGGGGCGCTACAGGCATGCAAGACGCGCGCCTCGTGTGCGCCTCGAGCGCTCGTCGGGCGCACCACCTTATCGCGCCTGTTTTAGGGTGGGGATTGAAGCGGGTTGAAGCGGGTTTCGGGTTGAAAGCGGGTTTCGGGTCTTGATTGTCAATAAACCCTTATGTTTTAGGGTTCTCTCCTCACTTGACCCTAACCCGCCGACCAACGTGCCGACTCTGCCGTCGCCGATTCCGCCGCCTAATATTCATGTTAGTATTTTCAGTTACTCTTTTCTTGTTTTTTTCTTTTTTCTTGTTTTCTCCTTTTGTTCTTTCTTTTTTTTTTTCAGCGGGTTTCTTTTTGTTTTCTTTTCATTTTTCTCCTTTTCTTTTTTCTTTTTTTAGTTTTTCTTTGTTTTCTTTTTTTTTTCTTTAATTTTTTCTGCTGTTTACACTTCACAGTTCACAGTCCACAATGTTGACATTGAATATGAAGATTTTCTAATTAGAAAATAGGAATGCAATATGAATATACATATTTAATGAATGAATTATGAATATACATATTTAATGAATGAATTATGAATATATATTTTGGTAGTTGTGTTTGAAGAAGAGGAGGAAACTGAGGATGATGAAATTCCACTTCAGTTGGATGACGATGATGATGAGGATGACTAGACACTGTTATTTTGTTACTTGCTTACTTTGTTTCGTAGACTTTTGCTCATGTTGGATATTATCTTGCATTGTGATTTGTGGAAACTTATGAACTTTATGTTATGCATGTTAATTAAGACTCTTTCGTGATTTAGTAGGTGAAATTATATTTCTTAGTCTTTTTATGTGATAATTTATAAACTTGTTGCTTATATGCTTCTTTGTTTTATGTTGGAAAATATTAGTTTGAATTATGCGCCTCAATTCAGTGAGGCGCGCGCCTCGTTGTGCACCTTACGCATGGTGCGTGTAAGGGACCTTTGCGCCCCGCCTTGCGGCTCGATAACACTGTATATAATTACGTGGTGCATTATTGCCTGGTATTAGTAATGGAAGTATCCTATATATGATTGTTTCATACAAAGTGAAGGCGACAAATTATAAGGCATTGATATAACAAGCCATGTAGACCACTCCGAGCTCATAAGCCCAAATGGATTGAATCTATCGTGAGATAAGTCTAGTCATTTTTGCAGTCATTAGCAAACTAAGAATAAGTTTGGTCAACATGCTTTCACGCTTATGCTTCAGCTGGATGTCTATAAGTTTCTCGTCATCTATATGTTTCAATCTAGGCACCAAGGGAAAATAGTGAAGCACCTTTGCTGGAATCTTCCTTTCCTTAAGAACAGTCTCTGTTGCCGTGTTGAATTGTGTTTGCGTTGTTCCCATCTTGACACTTAGCACATAGGACACTCCTGAAGATCCTTATAGCAGAGGATACAATTATTGGGACATGCATCAATCTTATTGTATTTAAGCCTCAGAGTGTTAACAATCTTCTTCACAATATAATATTTTCTGTTATGTTCTCTTTTCCATTAGAAATTACCTTTCGCAACAAATTAAGAAGCATATCAAAGTATTTATCCACAATTCTGCTATGGGTCTTAATACGCAAAAGCCGTAACATCTACTGAACTTTATATAACCATCATAAAGATCCTTTTCACTATTTTCTGTTAGCTTTGTTATCTACGCCAAGTCTCCATATCAGTCACATCTGAAGCATTTTTTTGCATCTTCAACATTTTGCGGAACCTCAACACTTTTGTGCAACTTCGACATTTTCTTCAACACCCGCATTCGTCTACTGCCACATTTTCTTTAACTTCCACATTGTCCATAGCTAAGATATTGTCAAGCATTGTCCGTGTATCATCTATTTGCGCACCGTCAGACGTATCGGTATGTGCCACGAGTTTCATTTCTTCAAGATATCCTTCCTCGTGATACATCCAATATTTGTACTCATAAAATCCCCATATTAAGTGTGTGGATAACTCACTTTTTTCACCAACGCTGAATTTTTACACCGATAGCAAGGGTAACACAAGAGTACACTTTAAATTCCTTAGGTCCGCCTTGGAATACCCTATGCAGGTATTTATTCCATCTTGATATCGACTGTCCATGTATCTCTCAATACGAGGGATACTGATCCATGACTTATTCGGTACTATTCTCATCTGTGTGTTATATATAACTTTTAATTAATGGAATAGCATACAAATTTATCTTGTTGAATTTTTTTCTGGACATTTACGCGATCTTAAATGATAACATCTCCTAAGAGCAAACATGCATGTATAGTTTGTAAATTAGAAAAGATTGTTATAGTTTTGTGTCATTAGGGTTTACATTAGGGTAGTTAGGTTTAGAGTAATTACAATTGCATAATATCACATGATGTAACACAAATTGCATTATATTTTAGAAAATACCAAAAAATCAGTAAATACTTAAAATTCTAGAAATTACATTATCTTAAAATTTCCCTAAAATTTCAGAAAGTTAACTTAAAATTTCAAAAAGTTACCCAAAAATATTCAAAAATCTAAACATAGAATTGCATAAACATGCAACGTCACAAATGGCATTCAATTTTAGAAAATTATCCTATATTTTCAGAAATTTACCTCTACTTATTTTAATTCTTTTCTCTACACCCTCTTACTTCCTCCTGTCTTCACTTTTCCCAGTTGGATGGAAGCAAGCCAGCAACAATTGTTGTTCACATAACTATTAATTTATATTCTTAATATTTTTATTATTCTAGGTATATAGCTCGTTTTTAGAGTTTTGCCCTTACAAATTTATGTTACGTGTAACAAACATTAGCATACGTGCTTGTAGTATTATTGTTGTTATATACGCAACGTATTCTACTCATAATTTTTTATGGTATCCATATCCTTTATTACATGTCCATATTGGCAACTCATATGTGCTGGATTTTATCAAGTTTACATTTACTTTTTACCTGTTCGGATGAGATCTGTGGTGGATTAGATCCTTCATCCAACTTCAAAATGCAATCCTTCACTGATGTAGTGAAGGTAAGTTAGATTAGTTTTATGGGTTCCTCCACTTCTCAGTACCACGAATGATATCAGTATATGGTTAAACATGATACGTACTGTATTAGTTGTCATCATTTAAACCAAGTGTTCAGATGTGGTGACAATCCTTGTAGTGCTTATTCTTAAAAAGATAACACTTATAACTGAATTCTGATTCCTGTCTACATTTCTCTATGTATCAGGTTTCTGTCAATGAGCAGTATGGAGGACATCTTCAGCTTTCATTCAATGAATAGTATAAAATGCTTGTGCATCAGATTTGTGTATAGTTCACTATACATGTAAATTGTGGAATAACACTGGGAGCGAATGGAGCCTTCTGAAAGCCTCCAGTTCCTGTTGAACTTCTGCAGATGTCAGTCGGTTGCTTATTTCATCAGGGGAAAACATCTTACAGAGGGCCCTCTGTAGAATATTGTATGGGAAGGAGAGGGTGATAACAGGCATATCAATGACAATCAGTGCAGTCATATAACTGTATTTATAGACCTCAACGATATTTGTATTATGATTGACGATATGTCATGCATCACCCTCTACTATCTATATGATACTCTATAGAGGGCTCTTTATAGTATTCCCTCTCCTTCCTCTCTATGGCAATGATCTAACCAATGTGTGTGGAGACGCATATCGATGCTGATCTCTAACAGGTGACAGCTTCATTTCTATGGATAATTTGCCGGGACAACCCTTTTGTATGTATGGGCTTTTCACTTCCATTAAAAGATGAAAAAACAGCAGGAGTGTGACAAAGAAATAAATATCGATGTACTTTATTGTACGAGAGAAGTTGCAGAAAGTTTTTTACATATGGCTTCTCTTGGGTATGACCAGGAGACCAAATTGCATCCCATTGTATATTCATGTTAATTGGCTTGTGACCTTGATCAAATACTTTAATCGTCAAAAGGAGTGACTTTTAAAGGTGATGGATACTTCTCATTGAAGATAATCAATTATTGTCCGGCGTTTTATGCAAACATGATTCGATCTTTAGAATGATGTTCACTTACAGGTGAAGGATCCCTTTTTTAAAGGGAAAAAGAGAGGGGGTTTCCCTTTGTAGTTGATATCCTCTTATATGTGAAGGATCCCTTTTTTAAAGGGAAAAAGAGAGGGGGTTTCCCTTTGTAAGTTGGTATCCTCCATTTTGGTGGAGTATCGCTTTCCATGTTAATGAATGTGAGAAACGTTATTGGTTTAGACCTGTGCAAGTTGCAACGAACAGGAGGACAGCGCGCTGGAACAGCAGAGTAAACTGATGTTTTCGCATTGGCTCTCTAGAGTCGTGGATCCTTAATTTCTTTAGGTTAGTTGCACATAGACCCTCTGTAGTTTTGCTATTGTGAATGACACCTGTAGTAAAGTTCAAAAAGATGATACTACAAGAAGCCTCCATGCAATTAGCCCTTTTCTTTTACTGATCTGTTTATAACTGTTCTTTGAACTCAAAATTAGTCCCTTTTTTTTTCCTTTTTGTTTTTGCCCGTCCCTCCTAAATTGGTCTTTTTTTTTTCATGATACTGAATTCTAACTCGAATCTCCTTCAAGGGGGAGGGGAGGGTAAGCGTCCAAATCTCTGACCTTTGTCCCAAAATTTATGCCCATCTCCTTCCAATAATGATGTTTGGATCTATTTGAGCACTTGTCTGTACCTTTTAAGCATGAGATGTCCTTGCGGGATGGTGGGAAATCAAGCTCAGAATTCATTGCTGAAGTCAAATAAATATTTTGACCGCAAAATGACAAGTAGTTTTTAGTTTAACCTTTCCGCTCCCACTTTATAGTCCAGTCAAGTGGAATCATCTGTACTAATTTATTCCTCATTTTTCCAGCGAAACAAGCAACTGGCCCAAACACCTGGATAACAATCTGCGCCATTAAAAAGCACTAGAAGCGGCTTCGTTCAGAAGAAACATAGATTAAAAAATATACGGGGGAAAAAAAGAGGCCCCACTTTTGTAGGAGAGAGAAAGATGCTCCTTCCACTCTCATTTAACTTTTGAGAGAGAGAGAGAGAGAGAGAGAGAGAGAGAGAGGGAGGCAACCATTTGGATCAGACGCTTTGCTCCGCTGCTGTAGCTAAAACCAAAGCAAAGAGTACAGACACTCAAACGTGCGTCTCCTGGCCCACCCTTATTTTGCTCCACCTCTCTAATTTTTTTTTTAATTAATACCAACACGCTTGCAAGATTTATACTAGGGATTCGCTACTACAATCAGCAACAAGTTTGGTGGTGAGTTTGTGCCAGTTCGTGGTTAGTGAATATATTAATAGCTATCTAGTTGATTAATAACGGTTCTCGTTGATAATAAGGTTTTATGTATTATACTAGTCTATAATGTTTTTTGGTTTGAGATTCTCGTTCGTGTGGAGACGCGGTTTGCAGGATTAAGGAAAGTCAAGGGGAGGATCCGGTTTCATATCGGAGACCATCGTCTTGATTTTGTGTATCCTCTTTTTTTTTTTTTAAATTCTAAAATTCCACCTTCTATTTTTAAAATTCGTAGAGGTAAAAGGTAACTGACTAGATCCAAAAATTTATGTGAAAACGAACTACACGTAGCCATCTCAAAGGCTAGTTATTTATGTTGCTTGCCTTACATGATGAAATATCTAAATGTGGCGTGGTTTTTAACTCGGTCACGTAAATCGATGCGCATCTCGTGCGCGCGCGGACACGAACTTGTTTGTTGCTCGTAGAGTACGTATAAACCAAGACGACGGTCTCGGTACGAAACAAGACCTTTCCCTTGAATTGCCTCGCTGACAACAAGAATCTCACTACTAAAAAAAAAAAAAAAAATAAAACCTTATTATTAAACAGTAAACATTATTATCACTATATTATCTTATATAAAAAACTAATAACATTTACTAACAAACCATTATTGATACTTTATTCACTAACACAAACTATCCCACGCTCATACTGCGAGTCCTAACCCCTCGCGGCGCGGCGGCGCACCCCCTCCCGCCACCGTCCCCGTAGGCCTGCTTACAAACCACACCCGGCTTCTGCACGGCGCGAGCAAACGGCACCGCCTCGGCACTTTGCAAGCAGTTGTCCCGAGGCTTCCCGCCAATCCCCCTGTTGAGCAGCAAGTCCGGCACCTCCCGCCTCACAGAAGTTGGAGTCCAGGAACAGCCTCCTCATCTCCCCTTGCTACCGTACTTGCGCGGATCCGCCCCGGAGCTTGTTATGACTCGCCGACAGCGAGGCCAGCGACGGGGAAGCAGCGAGCTCCGCCGGCAGCTCCCCGGCGATGTCGTGAACTCAGGTCGACCGCCCCACGAGCTGCTTTCCCTCGTCGACCGTCGGCCTCGGCGCCGAAACCTCGATCGAGCTTATGCTGTTGTTCGCTTAGATTCACCTGCTGGAGCGACGCAGCAGGAAGAACCAGCCTCCGATCCTGCCGGTTAACCTGTTCGCGCCAGCTCCGCTACTTCGAGGAGCTTCAGGGGCCTGAAGGCGGGCGGGGCTCACTCGCCGAGAGGGAGTTCGACCGCAGGCGAGGACGAATCAGGTTCGGGGGCAGGGCGGCCGGGACGGAGCCGAGAGCCGTTGAAGACTGAGGTCGAGCGACGCGAGGGTGGACAGGCCCAGGGGGGAAGGCGGGGATCTCGCCGGAGAGCTGGTTGTGGCTGAGGTCCAGCGTCTCGATTGCGGCGAAGCCGGCGAAGGAGGGCGGATCCCGCCGGAGAAGGAGTTGGAGGAGACGGAGAGGGTGGTTACGGAGGGAGGGAGGAGAGGAGGGGGGATGGGGCGCGGAAGCTGTTGTCGTAGAGGTCGAGGTGGGCCAGGCAGGAGAGGGAGGAGAGGCGGGGAGAGGCTCGCCGAGGTAGCGCCGGGCGGTCGAGGGTGATGGGAGGAGACGCCGGCGGTGGGCGGTGCAGGTTAGGCGCAGAGTGAAGTGGGGGTCGAGGGGCGGCAGGGTCGCGAGTGAAGTTCCAGAGGCGAGGCAGGACCAGGGGTTTATGAGGACGGTTATGCGGACTTGAAGGCGGCGCGAGGGACGGCGACGTCGAGGGGGAGGTGGTCGCGGCGGCAGGCGGGGATCGCGACGAGGACGAGGAGGATGGGAGGATGTGCGGAACAGCTCGGCGACATTGCTGTTGTTGAGGAGCGCCCGCTGTGTGTTCGATCGGAAGGTATAAGAGGGGTTTGGAGAGGACGGACGCCAGAAATTACGGCGTCAGCTCGGAGACGGCTCTGCCGACTTTTATTTCCTCTGCGTTTCCTTTAATTAATTTAATACTTTCTCTGTTTTATTAACAGGTTTATTTTCCTGCGTGCCCCTCGTATCTTCCGTAATCGCATATGCTCTCCTCCAAACCTTCAAAATTGCTAACATGCCCTCCGAACCTTCTATCGTCTCATTTAACCCCCAGATAGTTGTACTCGCGAACATGCCCCCCAAATCCTCACGGTGGGGAAGCAAGAAAGATGAAGGGGTTATGGCATTGGGAAAGGAGAGGCGGGTTATTTTGGTCAACTGGCTATTAAACCGTTAACGTAGCGAACTTCGCCAGATCAGCCGGTTGACGACTATTTTTAATGGATAACTGCTCCCCGCTATCTCCTACTTTAATGACCATTTAATCCACAATAAAAGGCCATTTAACTCCCACTTTCTTAGCCCATAAAAAGAGAAGGAGATAGTTCATTCGAGAGGCTAACCACCAGAGAGACACACGCGGGTTTCTTCTATTTCGATTCTAAAAAAAGACTGAGATATCTTCTAAGCAACCAAGTCAAAAATTCACTAATCAGCAAAAGACTCATTGTCTGAGTCGGATCGTTAACAGAGTATAAGATCGATGCTCCATCGGCATGCAAAAAAGGACCCACGAATAATTTTTTTTTCTTATTTCTCTTTTATTGTAATATGAGTTAATTATAATATAAAAGACCTGAAATAGGAAGTCGACTCCGCTAGAGACTAGCTTCTCCTCTGATGAGAAAGTTGTGTCACAGTCCAACACTAAGACCTTCGGTCTTTCGCTAAATCACTGGTCATTGAATTTGACTACGCGAAGTATACGAGGAATTTATTTCCTCAAACCAATCATCAATAGCAATCATGAGAAGATGCCACAAAATTCGCCGCGGTGTGAACTCAAAGCCCTAATTTGACCCTCGTGTGTGTAAAGGCGAACTTCACCAAAGATAGTTTGAGCTTCACTGGAAGCTAGATGAACTTCACCCAGACGAAGAAGCATCGCCCCTCGCCTTGAGCGAAGGTCAAGATGTTATTACGTCTTTGGATTTAGGACATTAGTCCACAATTCCTTTGGGTGTTCGATTTAAAGCATCTTGCAATGCTCTCTATGCTTCCTTGATAGAAGAAAAGAGTGGTGATGAGCCCTCATTTAAATTTTCACAAGGGAATAATATCGCTAATGGTGATTCATCTAACGTTGCTAAGAGAAAGTGTGGCCAACGTCTCCATAAGCGACGCTCACACACCAAAACTCAAAGCGGTAAGGTTGGCTCTGAAAAGAACCATCACCTTGGAACTACTAGTGATTTGAGAGAGTTCCTATCTCTAAAGAAAGTTCGCCAATGTCAGCATTGTGCGATCGTCAGAGAAGTGGTTTCCGCAGCTCAAAAGAATTCCCAATGCAAAGTTATTCCTGAAAAGAAATCATATTTCAATTGTTTAAGTCACGATTCTAAACCTCCAAAGATTCAAACCAAAAGACGACGTCGCATCTGAAAAGGTAAACTCCAAGAATTCATTATCAACATGACTAGTAGTTTCTGGAGATGAGAAGAAAGCACGGATAGTCCATCCAACTAGAGATATTCTCCTGGCATCAGAGCCATATTTCCAGAGACTAATGGTGTTTATCGCCACACTAGATCGAGGCAGAGAGCAACAATTCCTTTTGACTAGTCCTTCCCCCAAACACGAGCGCC